TAGTTTCCTCATCTGTCAAGCTGATGGGGCAGAACAGGCTGTTGGGGACTAGCTAGGACGGTAAGAACAGGCATCACGCTCCGTTGGCCGCGATGGTGCTGTTCTGACTGGAGGAGGCACAGCCTAACCGGGCTGGGAGCAGCCTGTGGGCCTGGGCGCTCACCTGGACATGTGGCCTCTCCTCCCCATCCGGGCGCTGCCTGTGATCACGGAAAGATCGACAACCTTGTTGCAAACCAGAGCCACCAGCCCTTTTGCAAATGCCAGGCCTCCATTACCTGTAAACTGCCCATTGGCGTACCAGGAGGCAGCCGATCCATGATTCTCTCTCATCATTGATGATTCCCTCTCTCCCTCTCTCTCTCTCCCCCCTTTCCTCTCTGAAATCAATAAAAAATATATTTCTTTAAAAAGTTTATAAAAATTTTTTTTTAAAAAGAGAGGGAGCGTGGGCTGCCGCCCTCCCGTGTGGAATGTCAGTTAAACCCAAGTTATTTTCATTTACAAACTCCTTCCCTCCAAAAATGGCCATGGGCTGCCGGGAGGCATGCACATCAACCAGCCTCTCTGACCCCGGCCTGCCTCTCTGACCCGGAGTCTGCAGCTGCGGGAGGGTGTGTGGCGGGGTGCGGGAGGGTATGGGTAGGGTTGGGGGTGAGGGGAGAGGTGTGGGGGGGGGAGTGCAGTTGAGCCAAATGACCTGAAGGTCCTACAATGCTACGATCTCAGAAATGATACAAGAGGGACCTTGTTGGCAGATGGGAAAACAGAGGCAGTGGACGGACCATAAATCTCCTTTCATCTCGATTTGGGCCTGGACAGAAAGGGAAGGGAAGGGCGCGGGGCCCCTGGCCCAGGGCAGGGCACCCCGGGCTGGGCTGGACTCCCTCCTCGTGGGATCTGCTCTCTCTTCTAAACATCAATTGTGCAGCTTGCGTCCCTCTGCTGCACCGGCTCACGTTGTGACAGGCAGCCGGGACCCGTGGGCTGTCGGGTTCCAGAAGGTGAATGAGTTCGGGACTCTCAGCACCAGAGACTCGGCCTGGAGCTCGGAGAGCCAGCCGTGTCCCTGGTCACAGCCAGCGGGGAGCGGCCGCGCCAAGGGGGTCAGACGGGGAGGGCGCCTCTCCGCGATTTCTCCCCAATTTGGTGTCAAGTCCGTCGTCTGCTGTTGGCTCCCGCAAGGAACCGAGTCAAGGGGCACATTCCTGAGATGTCTGCCATTCTGAGCTCATAAAAAAATAACAGCGCGCCTGACAAAAATAAACACGCCGCACAAAAATGCGGCCGAAGCTCTGATGTCAGCGCTGGCCTGCGCTCCAGCCCCAGGGGCCGCGGGCGGGCGGCCGGACAGGCTCCCAGGCATCAGAACTGCTCCGGCCAGGGCCCTGATTCAGGACCATCACCCGGGGCCTGGACGGGGCTGCGGCCCCCACCCCCCAAACACTCCTCCCTGCAGCCAACGCTCCACATTCCACGTTAAATGTCATTTCTGCAATTCAATTTCTAAAGGGTTTGGGTATTTTGCTTTTGAAGTTATTTGGTTACAAAGTAACTCTATAATTGGCTATGATTTTTTTAAAAATAAATATACTTTTATTGATTGCAGAGAGGAAGGGACGGGGGAGAGGGATAGAAACATCAATGATGAGAGCTATATGTTTTCATTGATTATTAGAGTGGAAGGGAGGGGGAGAGACAGAGAGAGAGAAACATCGATTGGTTGCCTCCCGCACGTGCCCCCGAACGGGACTGGGGATCAAGCCTGCAGCCCAGGTACCTACCCTTGACCGGAATCGAGCCCAGGGCCCTTCAGTCCAAGGGCTTATGCTCTATCCACTGAGCCACACCGGCCAGGCTGATGGGCTATGGTTTATCTGTGAAAGTCACATCTGTTCCAAAAGTATCCAAAAAACAGAAGCTCCGGACGGAGCGCTCACCGCGAACCTGGTGGAACTGCATGAGTGTCCCCGTCCCCTTGGATGGCCTCGCTCAGACCACTGAGCACGTCTTCCCGTGGATTTGACTGCTGCCTCTCAGCCTGTGACGCAGGGACAGCACCTGCCCACGGCTCTGCAGTGGGGGTCCCTGAGGAGCCCCCAGGTCGGTCGGAGGAAGGATGTGGGGAGCACAGGGCCAGGCCACTGGCAGCCCCTCTCCTGGAACATTCGAAGAATTGCTTCTGCAGCCCTTCGAGCCCCGTGAAAGTCCTGTCTGCACCCTGGGCCTCCCTGAGTGCAGGCTGGGGGCCCTCCTGGGACCTCCCCCCGCTCTAGGGCGCACCTGCCACCGGGAGCCAGCGGGAGCGGCCCCCTCCCCAGGTCCTAACTGGACTCGGGTTCACACAGGAACTATCCACGGACACCGGACTCTCTGAAGAGGCCCGTGACCAGCAGCTGCAGGCCTGGCCGCCCAGCAGAACCCACGAGGATGCTGTGACCACAGCGGAACCCGCGGGTCCCACCTGACTTCATTTCACCAACCCAACCGCCTCCCCAGGTCGGGGGTGGGGGGGGCCTTTTCTCTGCCAAGGGCCACAGGAAACCACCCACTTAAAAATTAGCATGGCCTGGCCCAGCCGGTGTGGCTCAGTGGTTGAGTGTCAACCCAGGAATCCAGAGGTGACGGGTTCCATTCCCGGTCAGGGCACATGCACCGGTTGTAGGCTCCATCCCCAGTGTGGGGCGTGCAGGAGGCAGCCGATCCATGATTCTCTCTCATCATGGATGTTTCTATCTCTCTCTCCCCCTCCCTTCCTCTCTGAAATCAATTAAACAAACAAACAAATAAATAAATGAAAGGGCTGGTCTTATTTTTTCAAGAAATGGCTCTTTTGTCCGGTGCTAAGGGGATCTCTTGCTTAGGGTGTAAAAGTGACGGCTGCCAATCAAATGGTGACTCCAGACCAGCCACCACGCTCTCAGCGGTCCCCTCCCTGCCTGATGGTGAGCTAGTCATTTCATTTCTCTGCCAAACCTGTTCCCCGGCAGCCGCGGGGGCCAGGGAGGGACCTGTGTTGCTCGCTCCCCGGGCTCAGCTGGGTCAACAGCTTTCTTCCCAGGAGCCCCAGGGGCAGGGTACCTGCCAGGTGCTGCTGTGGGCAGAGAACCCCCCCCAACAGACCCCCCACATCTGCAGGGCAGCTTGTGCCACTGGCTCTGGACTCGTAGCCACGTTCTCTCTAACTCCTGCCCAGAGCCAGGGCTCAGGATGCCAGGGACAGAGACACAAGAGCCACACCACCCTGTCATCTTTTCTAAGACATCCACAGATCTGCCAGACGGCGGTGGGGACCATAATGACACATCCACATTCTTTAAAAAAACAAACAAGTCCAGAATGCCGAAAAGCAACCCTCAAACTTCCCTTTTGCTTTTTCTGCCGAAGGCTGCCCTAGCCGGGTTGCTCAGTGGTTAGAGCGCTGGCCCTCAGACTGAAGGGTGTCACGGTTTGATTCCCGGACAAGGGCATGTACCTGGGTTGCAGGTTTAATCCGGGGTTCCGGTCGGGGCTCGAGCAGGATGCAACCAATCCATGTGTCTCTCTCACACTGATGTTTCTCTCTCTCTCTCTCTC